TCAATTAAAGTGGAAGTGAAGCAGTCAGTCAAGTTTACATTATTTAGTAAAGTGATTTCCACTTTGATTAAAATATATATAACAAACATGATTAATGTAACCATTTTAAAGAAAAAGGATGTTTTGCTATAGCTTTTGGAGCAAGGATGCCGCCATCTTGCAGTACCACAGCTTGTCATGGGGTTGATTTGCGCCATTAGCCATCAGTTTCTTAAATAATGTAAACTTGACTGACTGTTTCACTTCCACTTCCTCTTTAAGTTCAACTAATTGCCTTTAATATAAATTTAAACTATAGTACATTTTCATTTAATTACATTCAGTTCACACTTAAGTATATTCTCTCCCGTGTCTCTAAGACAGACAGCAGAGGAGCAGATGTTTTTGCTCCTTGCGCTCAACTCTTGCGCTCAATTTAACGGATCCAAACACACACTCACGCCTGACCGACTGATCTCTGAGCTCCTGTGCTCAGAGACTCCCTCACACCTGGGCCTTCTAATCAAAACTTTACCAGCAACATCGAGACGCAGGGCCCTGTTACATTCTGAAGTTAATGAAACACAAGCAGGAGAAATGAGATGAGGGAAGATCTGTCTGTGTGTGTGTGTGTGTGTGTGTGTGTGTGTGTGTGTGTGTGTGTGTGTGTGTTTGTGTGTGTGAACGCTAACTCACCCATGACACAACACGTCCGTTGAAACACGGTAGTTTGGCGTTGTCATCAGATATCTCCTCCTTCACCACCCTGCAGAGACATAAAGAAACAACAGGTCTATTAAAATGTTTCACCAGAATAACAAATAAACATGAGTTTCACTCGAAATATAAAAGAAAGCATTGTAGTCTGTTGTCACGGATAACAAAATCCTCTTTAATTTGATTTTTGCTTAATCGTTTAAACCAGTAATATGGTTTTGTTCGAGAGCAACTACCGTATAATAAGAATACATAAAGAAACTAGACTGAAGAAAATGTCAGTTTTGCCTTTTCTATGCAGTTGCTATGGTGATTTAGCTGGTTGCTAGGTTGCTGTTGTGTTCTGTTGACTGCTATGGCATCGCTAGGTGGTTGCTAAGGTGTTATGAGTGGTTGTTAGCGCAGAGAGTTGCTATAGTGTTCTAGCTGGTTGCGATGGATTTGCTATTGCGTTCTGGTTGCTAAGATGTTCTGAGGGTGTGTTAGTGCAAATGGTTGCTATAGTGTTTTGGCTGGTTGCCATAGCATTTTCTAATGTTTTCGGGTGGTTATATGGCATTGCTAAGTGGTTGCTTTACAATTGCTAAGGTGTTCTTATTGGTTGTTAATGCAAGCAGTTGCTATAGTGTTCTCCCATTTCTATGGCATTGCTAGGCAATTGCTAAGCAGTTGCTAGGGTGTTCTGGGTGGTTGCTAGGGATTTGCTATTGTGTCTTTGTGGTTCCTATGACATCCCTAGGTGGTTTCTAAGGTGTTCTAAGTGGTTGTTAGTGCAAGTGGTTGCTATAGTGTTTTGGCTGCTTGCCAGAGCATTTGCTATTGTTTTCTGGTTGTTTCTAAGGCATCGCTATTCGCTAGGTGGTTGCTAAGGTGTTCTGAGTGATTAGCGCACGAGGTTGCAATATTGTTTTGGTGGTTGCTATGGCATCACTAGGTGGTTGCTTTACGGTTACTAAGGTGTTCTGACTGATTGTTAGCGCATGCGGTTGCTATAGTGTTTAGGCTGGAAGCCACAGCATTTCTAGGCATTTGCTATTGTGTTCTTTCTGGTGATTTCTATGGCATTACTAGTTGATTGCGAAGCAGTTTTGCTAATTGTGTTCCGGCTGGTTGCCAGAGCATTTGCTATTGTGTTCTGGTGGTTGCTATGACATCGCTAGGTGGTTGCTAAGGTGTTCTGAGTGGTTGTTAGTGTAAGCGTTTGCTATTGTGTTCTGGCTGGGGATTTCTATGGCATTGCTAAGTGATTGCTCAGCAGTTGCTAGGGTGTCCTGAGTGGTTGCTAAATAGTTGCTTACCAGCTCATGTCAAAAGAGGTCATAATAATGAGGCTTGACTTAGCAAACACCCCTAAATAAGTAAAGCCACAATGATCAGCTCCATTTATAAATGGCCCCTCACATGCACACAGGTTAATTTAGTCCCCCATAAAGTAACCCCAGAGTCCCTCCCCCTTCCTAGCTGTTCCTTAAAAAGGTGCTGACCCCTCTGACTCCTGTCGCCATGGAAACCTTTGTCAAAGAGGAAGCGGGTGAAAGACAGCTGGCTGGAAAAGCATGTGAGGTTTGCAGAAACAGACCATGTGATCTATTAATAATAAAAATCTATCGAGTGATCATGATTGCATTCATGCAATATAAAACAAATACCAGACAGCTATCTTTAATCACACACCAAAGCAGTGGTGATGAAACAAAGGCTATGCTATATAACAACAGCAATATTTCAAAGCAAAACAAAGCTTATTGTTTCCCATACTGACAAAAATATATGTGAATGCTTTCTTGCGGTGTTTTTTAATTCGAGCCACTCTCAGCTTTAGATGGCATTTCCATGGACTTTGAACAGACCATCTGATGCATATTGTACATAAAAATAGCAATGTTTGAGAACAACAAGCTTCAATCTGATCTGACTGGCTTGCTTTACTGCCTCCTCCCCTAGAGTCTAAGTCAATTAATATCAAATGAATTCAAACTGATATTATGAAAAAAATCTACAATGTACATCCACATTCAGGGCTTTATTTGTGTCATACATCATCTCTCTCTCTCTTTCTCTCGCTTCCTGCCAGATGAAGCTGATCTAATGAAACCCTTCAACAGTGCCTGCATCTGCTGAATTCACATCTGTTCAAGTGATGAGTCAGAGCCTCTTAGGCTCAAGATCTCTTTCCAACTCTCTGTCCCAATTTACAGCATACAGAAAGGCAATGCTGTTGAATTTTTGGAAGTCATAATGGTGGATGTCTCAGAATGCTGTATGTATTATTACAAAGCATTCTAAGGGTGTGTTCACACTTGTAGTTCGGTTCGATTGGTTCATTTGGTCCGGACCAAAAAGGAAAATGATACATTTGGTCCTGGTCCGCTTAGCGTTCACATTGGCATTTTTGACAGCGAACCTAAAGACAGTGAACCTAAAGGCATAGTGATACGTTCACAACCTGATTGGTCGGCTTGAATGACATATATATCGTGACAGAACTCACCGAACACCCCAACAAAAGGGTGCGTTCACACTTGGCATATTTGGTTCGATTAAAACGAACCCTGGTGCGATTGCTCTGTTAGTGCGGTTTGTTTGAGTAAAGTGTGAATGGGCCGGTATGAGATTTTGACGGTATGATAACCTTAAGCAAAAATATCAAAACCCCCAAATCAATATTGAGGATTTTCTTCCAATAGTTCGTGCATCATGAACAGTGAGTGATCTGCCTGCTGCAGTATTTTTCTCTTTGTGTCCGTATTCAGCGTCTCTGGCCTGTGTTAACGGGTGTTTACAGACTTCACATAAATGACATTTTGGAAAATGATTGCATTGCAACGCAGTTTGTGCAAGTTCAGAACAGAGACGAGTTGCAATGAGAAAAAAACGTCCGGTTGCCGATCGCGTAAGTTCCAGGGGCAGCTCCTTAAGTTCGGCCATCCTACACACACGTGACTGACTGACCG